TACTGACTTTATCGTAAGAGGGTCTTTATATGCCCCTAATCAGGACTGTTTTTACAAATATTCAAGCTTTTATCATAAGTCTGGATTTCATTAAACTAAAAGGAAGAAATCTAAGTACTTGAAAACATTAATTAATTACTATCTCAAATACTAAATGACATGTTATTTACATATCTTGAACTTTCAAAACATCATCAAATATATAAAATTTAATGCCATGATATTAAAGTGATATAAAAGAATAATATTGAAGAACCCTAATAATAGTTAACTAGAGAAAGAGAAACACACACATGAAGGAGATGATTCCTTAACTTGTTGTTCGTAACTCTCGGAATTGAATTCAATTTCAAAGGTTAAATCAATATTATTGTTTAGAGTTTTTTTTTTCTTATGGTATTGATAATAAAAAAATAAGTAAAAATAAATCAAATAAGAGAACCTTTGATTTGCTACAATAATTTCAAATAAAAAATATCATTTAAAAAATACCTTTAAAATTTATCTATAAAACTTAATTAACATATGGTTTACTAAAACCCCACCAACAACAAGGCATAAAGTTTCTCATTCTATAAAGTCACAATAAAAATAAAAAAGAAAAGAAAAATCAATTAATAAAACTTGACAAATTATATTGATTAATAATTCTTTAGTACTTTTCACCACTCATAATAAATCAATTAGCGCTTTTCATTTTCGTTTTGTGATGAGGATGGGGTGCTAGATGCGAAGAACTGACTGAACCGACGGAGAGGTTTTAGCATACCTCCTAAGATAGGATTAGATGGTCCACTAAATTAAACTGACTTGTAGCGTCTCTTTAAGAAGATTTCTAATTGTAGTTACACCAAATAAACCATAGGATTAAATGGTCCCTTCAATTAAAAAGTCCACTAAATTTACAGTTATGCTATGTTAATTACCCAAAGGGTACAACCCCTAGCTATGATTATTATTCCATTAGATAGGCCTCCTTAATTACCGAAATACACAGGGGATCAACTCGTCTTTATACACTAAAAACACAACTATAAAAACAAATGTTCACGTTATATGGAGAGAGGCATGACTATAAGACCTAAGACACACGAATCATGCATGTTTGTTAGATTTATCACGACTAAAAAATTAATATCTTCTCTAAAATATAGGAGTATCAAAGTAATAAATAACCCGGCAAGATCAGGGTCGAACCACATGGAGGTTAATTGTATAAATTATAAATTATAAATAACAATAATACAACAACAATAAATTCATAATAATAATAATAATAATAATAATAATAATAATAATAATAATAGTAATAGTATAATAATAATACCAATACTAATAATAATAATAAAGAAGAAGATGAAGAGAGCTTTGAGATGAAAGATTACCGTAAGGAGTAAATAATAATAACAACAAATGTTAAGGTTAGATGATCCACTAATAGTATGTCAAACAAGTA